CTCAGTAAGCAAGAAACATTTTGGAACATTTCAATAACATTGTAGTAATGTTATAAAGTTGCTACAACGTTGTTGAAATGTTCCAAAATATTTCTTGCTTACTGGGTACATATGTACCCAAGCAAACATGGCTTGGCACTGTTATATAATTTTTTTGTTATTATTCAAATATCTTTGTTTTATAACAAGAAGACAGTTTTATGACGTATATGAGATATTCTAATATAAATATGATAATTTTGTTACATGTCTTTGTTATATATTTAGCACATAATTATGTATAATAAATTAAATGTAATTAAATTACATCCATATACCATTCTATGAATAAGATATATAACAAATACAAAATACATTTACAGCACAAAGCCATAATGGAAAAGGATGTAAATTATACATGTTTTGGTTACATCTGCAGGAATGTATACTGTAACTCTATAACAGTTATGTCACTAAAATTATGAGATCGTACTTTTCTATAAAATTACATCACTACAATAACTTTCACTACGATGTAATTTCATAAATTATACGTCACTTTTTTTCATAGTGATTACATTTGTTTAAAAAATAGAGAGAAGTGAGAATTTGTTATATAAACAAATAAAGAAACAATAAATGCGATAAATTAAAGGAAACAATCAATCAGTAAGTAATATTACAAATTATTTCTGATTATTTGTTAATAAAAAAATAATCAAAATAATCAGTATAATTTAGCAAATAAAGTCGATTCAAAACATAAGTTAGATTCTATATAATTTGCTTCTATTATGTTATCAATTAAATATTTTTATGCAGTCCCATACAGTACAGAAAGATTGCAGAAACATTTGCAGAATGATTTCACTGAAACATTGCAGTATTGCATGGTGGTTGCAAAACGTTGCTGCATCATTGTTGCAAAATTCCGACAATGTTATGACTGTTAAACTAAGTGTTAAACTAAGATTGTACATAAATATTGTAAAAACTTATATTTTTATATATTATTATTATAACAATTAAAGAATTAGTTTTGCAATGTTTGTGGAATATTACAAGCATATTACTGACATTTTGCAGGCATATTGTTAATTTACATTTCCGTAATACCTCTGCAATGTTACATTGCAATCTGCAATACTGCAACATTGCAGCAACATTGCTTTAATTTTCTGTGCTGTATGGGATTAGATAATAATATATTTGATTGTCATGTGGATTTTTATAAATATAAAAATATAAAAGATAAAAGTATTTATATAACATGGAGAGATTATTATCATTTCCGAACTAACAATAAATAAATAAATAAATATCATCTATTATATACTCATATATTATTTCGTTTCCATGTGATCTCTTTAAATATTAATAATATTAAACTTTCAGCAGAGACACGAAATTAATATATAATAGGAATGATATAAACAATAAGAGATATAAATAACGTTGGCAATGACTCGATCACAAGCGTGCGATTAGCTCAGCATAAATGTTATTAAGCTATTGTTTTATGGATCGTGGGTTCAAATCGCTTGGCAGCGATGCGTTTTTCAATAATTAATTATAGTTAATAAGACAAGAATATAGACATAGAATAAGGTATGCGAAATAGTGAATAATAAATTGAAAAATAAAAATAAATAACAACAAAAAATTATTTTTTTGTTAAGATAAAACCGTTTTATTACATAAAAAATAGTTTTTATTTTTAAAAATTTATTGTTACATATTAAAAATATATTTTTTTATTTAAAAAAAATTGCAAAACTATATAAACTATTTTTTTCATTCTAATAGCAAAAAATAACCAAAAAACTTTTTCAAATCAAAGAAATCGGGTCGATATGTTAATAAGTAACAAATAAATAACAATTTCACCCATTTGTGATGTCACAGTGAGAAATTATGCATTGCATAAATGTTACGTATGCATTTCATTTCAATACATAATTGTTATATATTGATCTTGTTGCCGTTTTGTATTTAAATCATATCACTGTTATGTAACTACTATAGAGAAAATGGAACGATAAATTTAAGAATATTCTCATAAATTTATGTAACTTTTGACAATTGTTACGAGTTAAAAAATTAAAATTATGTACGAGATATATTATATGTTTGAGATATATCTGTGTTTGTTGGGTAATATATAAATTTACACAGAATCATAGAATAATTTTTTAATTTTTGGCTACAACATTTCTTGGACTTGTTCTACTGTCCACCGCGGATGTCTTCATCATATGCAAGTCTCCAAAAAACGTGCTGCAGCACCGTCATTTGTTTTTTTAGAATTATAATTTTTATACAATTTATACATCAAAATGCAAGTAACAAATAGATATAAAAAGATTTTATGTACCATGTATAGATTTTTAATCACTTCTTAAAATAAGGTATGATTTTGAGGCCTCCAGGGTGAATAACCTCTTAAAATTGATGAGGATTACTTCCCAAATAGCAAAATGTTATCAGGATGTCGACAGACTGGTAGCAGATTTGATCAGAAAATGTTAGCAGATTGACTACAACTAATATCGCATTCTGCTCCTGTTCTGCCGATAGAACCTGTTAACATTCTATGCAAACAGACTGGCAGCAGAAATCAAACAGAACTTGCTGACAGAATCTGATAGCAGATCACAGTGTTAGACTAGCCTCCTCAAACTGTGATTATTTTGGGATAATTTAGAAGACTGCTATTAGACAGTTTCAACATTATAATACTATTTCCGCATAATAAATATCATTATGCATATAAAAAAAAATGTGTGTATTAAAAATGAAACAAAAATTAGTTTAATTTATATATACTTTATTTCAGTAATGTGCGTATGTGTGCGTGCGTGTGTGTGTGTGCTCTGCGTGCGCGCGAGCGCGTGTGTATGTGTGTGTGTGTAACGCATTAACCTTTTATAAAAATTTGTGACATTTTATAAAACATTTTATAAAAATGAATATCCACAGCAGAGTATCGGAGAACGAGAGTGGAAATGCATTTTAATGTCTGAGGAGTGCAAGAAAAAGACATTAAGATACCAATTCTTTTTTTGTTAAGAAACGCAAAAATTATTGTATTAAATATTATATCATATACACAGGCACATGCCTATAGATTATATAAAACGTGTCAAATAATATAAAAATATCCATTTTCGCATTCATAACATTTTTACAAAAACGTATTTACATCACATCTAACATCGCTAAAGCTGACATATTTGTTTTCGTTCGGTATTTGAATCTATGACGTTACCTAATAACGAAAGCGCTAACTGACTCAAAATAATCACAGGACTGTATATGAAAAAGGTATTCAGTCGGACCATCTATACTTCTAACACTATACAGCAGATTGACAGCAGAAACCGAGTAAGATTTGTCATTTTCATTTAAATCGACCTAATTTCTTATAAGAATTATTTTGCGTACATATATATAAACGGTTATATATAATTATATAGATAATTATGTATTTATATATACTGGTGTGAAAACTGGAAATAATCATACAGTTTTATTGCTAAAATACATATTATCGATATATATACATATTAACTGCACATTTCAAAATATATGAAAAAGTTATAAAATAATCAAAAAAATATTCGGAGATTCAGAAAGCATACTCCGAATGAGCTTAAGAATCTCTAGGAGATTTGCCTATTCGATTTACATACGTCAATTCTTATAGGATTTCTGGACGTTTTCTTCTTACGAGAAGCAAGTCTATATCATGGCGAGGCCGTATATGAAAATGGCAGATCTTGCTCGGTTTCTGCTGCCAATCTACCGTCAGCAGGCTCTATTCTGCTCGCAATTTGTTGTCAGATGAAACAGCAGATTCTGTTTGGTTTCACCAATTTGCTGGCATAGCATATCATCAGGCTTTGCTATATTTTTGACAGCAGTTAGCTGACATTGTCTAATAGTAGACTCTGCTCAAAATCTGTCTCTTCAGGTTTGACTATCTGGATTCCGATGGTTTCCTTGTTAGTAGCACTAGAGAAGCCTGAGTACCTCATAGAATGGCTCAAATTACTCAAAATGAATTCCATGGGGAAGCTGAAGGATTATTGTATATCCCTAGAATAGCAAATTAGCCTCCAGGCACTGTAATTACCTATTTAAGAACTGAACCAACAACTTATTAAACGCGTTTCTCTCAAAATTTGTTTTTTGTATTTTCTTCAACTTTGTGTACACGATTGAGAAAAAAGTATTTCACCAATCGACTTTTTATATTAATTATTAGTTTACAGCTCATATACAACTCAATAGTCAACCTAAACAATTAAATAAAAATTAACATTAACAATTTTCAATAAAAAAACGGCTGCTACCTAGCGAAAATTGTAACATTTTTTTTTAAATCGCATAAAATTTATATATACATTTTTTTTTAATTTTTTAGATTCATTTAAAATGAAATTCTATAAAAAATTGAAAATATTTCTTAATTTTTAATTTTTGGCAAGAATTACAGCTGTTGTACACAAAATCATAACATCGTGGCGAGTCAAACTAAATATTTATATTTTTATTATTTATAATAATTTTTTTCGCACAAAAATTTGTATGTACTCTATAATAGTTATATTAAAATGTGCAAAAAGTTTTTAAATATTAATTTTTCTTTTAAAAAAAATTACAAAGAATCACCATTTTTTCGGTCTACTAATATACGTACAAGAGACCTCCCTTATCCCCGCAAACACAAAAAGTGTAGTAAATCTTAAGCCTTAAAAAATTGATCAATCACAGTCGAATGTGAGAAAAATAATCGAATATGATTGTCAACTCTTTAAAGTTTAAGACTTACTACTCTATTGTATTCGCAGAGTAATCAGATTCAATAACATCTGTAATTATGAAACTGATGATTCATATCTATTGAATGTATATATCTGTGAAGAATAGAACTATAAGATAAAAATTCGCAGTTTTCTCATATATTCTATATCTATTACATGTATATGTCAAGATTAAATAATAATAACAAAATTGACAATCTTTTGCACAAATATTTTATTAAGAAAGTTTATCATCATCTTCTTAGCGATCTTCTTAGAGCGATATAAATCCATTGTTATGTACAATCATTCTCCAGTCATCATCTCCATAAATTCTATAGATTAAGATTTCATTAAAAGATAAATTAATAATTGCATCTCAATAATAGTTTATATAAATGTATATGTCCAAAGTGTCCGGAAAATCGCCCGCAATACTTCGAGAAGTGATTTGGAATCCAAAAAGAAGGAAAAAAATTATGTAAATATGAATCCGAAAATAAATCATTTCCGAGTTATAACTACTTTAATGTTAAAAAAATTGTAATTAATTTTTCATATAATCACAATTATAATTTATTTTATATTATTTTATATTGTTTTAACATAAATAACTACATTTCGGACTATTTTGATCCAGGATACATCATGGGAGGCATAGTCCGCTTTAGCATTCCTCTTTTTTTACTTTATTAGAAGGAAGATGCATCCTGAGTAACGCCAAATATGTAGTCTGAAATATAGTTATTTATACTAAAACACTATGAAATAAATTATGATTGTGATTATGAAAAATAAATTACAATTTTTATAATATAAAAGTGCAATGATTATAACTCAGAGACGATTTATTTCCGAACCTATGTTTATGTAGTTTTTTCCTTTTTTTCGAGTCCCGAATCATTTCTCAAAGGACGACTGTCCGGATACCCTATATAACACACACACACACACACACACACACACACACACACACACACACACACACGCAAACATGGATGTTTAAAATAAAGTGTTACAAATTATTTATCTCGGAAACACGGCATTAATGAGAAAAATTGTTCAAACAAAAGTTGTAGAATTTAAAAAGGCCTATTTACTGATCTTATCAGTTTAACTTTGGATGGCATTACCAAGGTCAAGTCAAGGTCACATCGATTTTTTTAAATAGAACACCCTACTTTTGTTTTCAGAATCTAATAGATGATGTCCAGAGATTTCCGCTATAAAAACGCTATAAAAAAATGTTATCAAGAATAATATCAAAAAATGTTTTTTTATTAAGTACTTTTTGAGTTAATGCTTAAAAGTTACAGTATCGTGGGCACTAACATTACCCAATGTATCCGACCGACGACTAAAATCTTTTGAATGTTACTCAGGCTCATGTCCTGGATATCATTTGTCAAGATCAAAGCATTGGAGATTGTATTTTCATTTTTTCATAAAAATGAATTTTTAGTGCAAAAATGAAAACGAGACGGATAATCTCCAATGGCCTTGATCTTGACAAATATTATCCAGGACATTATCCTGAACAATATTCAAGAAACAATATAATATATTATAGGACCGTATACGTATAATAACACAAACTATAGAAATCAAACTGGATTTTAGTCTAACTGGATCTTAAATGTTTGTATGATTTTTGCTTGTGTGAATTTATATAATTCTGTAAATTTTTTATGCTTGTTCGCATCTTCGAAACGATCTTAATAATGTTGAATGACATATAAAAATAATTATAAGCATCAAAAATTTACTAGCCAACTTAACTCATGATATTACTGCGGTAATTTAATAGAGTTAGCGTTTCCAAAACCAAAAAATCATTTTACACGTTTCTGGGGACTACATACGTAGTACATAAATTCACCCAAAAATCATACAAGCATTTCAGATCCAGCTAAACCGTTTAAGGATTTTATTTCTATAGTTTGTGTTAACATTCAAGAGGTTTTAGTCGTTGGTGGGACACCTTGGGTAAGGCTAATGCCGGTGATACTGTAACTTTCAAACATCATAACTCAAAAATTACTCAATAAAAAATATCTTTATTATAGTATTTTGAAAAGATATCGATATCAGCTATTACATTCTGAAATCGAAAGTAGGGTGTTCCATTTTAAAAAATCGACCTTGACTTGATCTTGGCGACACCATCCAAAGTCAAACTGATAAGATCAGTAAATATTGGCAAGAGCTTTTTTAAAAAGCAGTAAAAACTGCAATTACTTTCTTACCAACCAATATATCTTGATAGAGTAAAGTTTCAGCTTTAAGAATCTCTTTTTTAAATTGCGATACGACAATTTTTAACGAAATTATGAGCAATTAAAGTCAAAATGATCCTTTTATTTAATCCGCGATAACTCAATAACCAAAAATCGTAGGAAGATTTAAAAAACAATTTTGTAGGAAAAATATCAAGCTTTCATGATAGGTAGTCAAAAATTTTCTCAAATTTGTTTTGCACACGTTACAAACTCACAAAGTGAGAAAAAAATTTTCCGTCTTTTCCAGCTAGTTTTTGGTATGTAAAAATTACCAAACTCATATAAACTTAAAAAACGTGATAAGCTTTTAAAAGTAGAGATTTCAAGCTTTAAAACTTTTTTTCTAAATTTAAATTTTATTCATTATTGATGAAGATGTATATACAACTTTCAGCTAAAAAAAACGCAATTATTTTCTTGCCCACCCAATAGATCTTTTTGAACTCTACAACATTTATCTGAACAATTTTTCTCAATAAGCCGTGTTTCCGAGATAAAAATTTGTAACGCTTTATTTTGATCACCCGGTATATAAATATACATACATATATATATATATATATATATTATATATAAGGTATCCCAAAATTTTTTGCCAAGCGCTCTTGTGTAGATAGAGCAAACTAAACTGAGTCGAAAAAACCTCTAACTAGTATTTTGCAATTTTTGCAATAATTAACAAAATATTAATTACTAAAAATTGTCGAATATTATAAGTCTTCAATAATTTTTTTCAAATACTATTAACTTTACAAAAAAAAAAAACTGCAAGAAAGAAAAATTGTTTATTTTCTTCTCATAGAACTTTAAGAATTTTTTCAAAATTTTTTATCAATTTTTTAGTACTACATTTTCTTATATATAATATATTGGCAACTATTTTTACCAACATGAGGAAATATAGTATTAAAATACGGTATTATAAAAATTCTGATAAAATTCTAAAAGAATTCTCAAAACTTTATGAGAAGAAAATAAACAATTTCTCTCACTGTTTTTCTGTAAAGTTGATAGTATTGTATTTGAATAAAAAATTATTGAATATTAATATTTAGCGATTTTTAGCAATTAATATCTTGTTAACTATTGCGAAAATTGCAAAATGGTAGAGGTCTCAATTTTTTTCCGCTCTATCTACACAAGAGCGCTTGGCAAAAAATTTCGGGATACCCTGTATATATATGTGTACATATATACAATATATATACATACATACATGGTTCTTATGTTGATAGAGTTTGATTTCAAGCTTTGGACGGAATTTTCTCCCAAACTATTCGTTATTCTAAAAAATATTTCAAATAGAACTTATTTTGTTTCAATGGAAATATCTTTTAATGATCACAAATCCTCTCTAGGTAACCGTGTTATCAAGATTTCAAAGTAATTTTTATTTTTTTAAAGTTAAAGTTATAGTTTTTAAAGTTAGAGTTTTTGTTT